ATGCAGGTAGGAACTCTTAAAACGTATTTTGGCAGCTATGCTTCTCAGTGCATTTCAATCATCTCTCTCATTTAATGTACGTACTAACTAGTACAGATGATATTACTTTTTCTGAAACAACCGATTGCTGATACCTGATGGAATTAATTTGTATGCACATAGAGAATTTAGAATTCTGTAACTAGCCTGTGCCCTGAAGCAGATTGCCAACAGGAGCCCTTAGCAGCGTTATGCTTGAGGTAAATAAGGCTTTTGTAACCTGAGCAGTAACTTTCCAGACATTCAAAATTGTGGGCAATGAGAGGGTGCTATTATCAAACTCTAGTTGTGCAGATGAATATCAATTTGTAGTTGCACTTTTAGTTGATGCTATGGAGCTTTAATTGCTCTTACATTACAGGGATGGGTGAAACTGTACAGCTTCTCCATAGGGAATATATAAGAAAATAAACTGCTGAAAATCCCCCAACATTTCAAAACCTTGGACCAAGATCAAGAACTTGAAGGCCTTGAACATCCATGTTGTTAGTTTCTTCACTCTACAAAAGGACCTTTTCAAAGGCCAGTGGGGATTTCAGTGTAAGACTCTGAATAAGTGCTGTAACTTCCTTGTGCTACGTGAAGACAATTCCTATCTCTAGCCTTGTATTATTTTTTAATTCAGAGCAGTGTTAGCAGGTAAATTTGCTTTGAGATTTAAAAAAAAAGAAAAAAATCAAACCAACCCTCTTTAATACAGAGTTCTACTTCTATCTTACCCAGCCTACAGACTCTATATTAGCAAGGAAGATTTAATAAGCTTAATGGATGTCTTCAAACAAATGCAGTAATTGTTAAAGCCAGCTCGTTCACCCTATGATGTGATAGATATTATCCATACTGAGTCATGATTGCCTGTAAATACATAGTGGAAGTCTTGAGAAGATGGTGGCTTAGTGAGTTCAAGATTCTCAAAGCAAACTAGGGACCAGCACAACAGCTGTCGCACCTGCAAAGCAGGTAAGAACAGCCACTTTTTAATAGTCAGCTTTATGCAGTAACTTCGGGTTTGATTTGCCTGTGCTTTCAGAACTCATTTCAGAAACTCTTCCAGCACGGGTCAGGTCCGATGACAGTAACCTTCCAGACTCTGTTGTGCATTTTTACTGAGCTATTTCAGTCCTGACTTAGAGTATAATTTCAAACTTTGAGGACAGCTTTTTCAAGCGAAGATTCAATCAATGCATTGCTATTTTTGTAGTGTAAGACAGACCTACCTGTTCTTGATCTAAGTAAGACTGCATTAATCTTTGCAGTAGGTTTAAATACAACTTCAGTTAAACATAGCTTATTTTAAAGTGTAGCAAGAGGAGATACCGTACAGCCAAGTTTCTTTAAATTACCCAATGCCTACTAATGCTGCTTCAAAGACAAACGCTGTATATGCCAGCTCTCATTCAGTGCTAGAAGGCTCAGATACCTTTGTCTCCTGGATCTCAAAGCAGCAAGAAGAAATATTAGGGCACCCAACCTCCTACTTTACAAGACTAGCACCCAGTGATGATGTCACTTGTGCTGCCAGTGTTCTGAAGACATTCCTGCGTTTTCTACAGCTGATTGGCACAGATGAAGGCCCCTGGGAAAGCATACCTGCTTCTCTTCTGGTTTTACTGCTCCAGTCTCTGCTTTATGACCTTTAAAATCAAAAAACTCTTACCTGACAGTTGAGAAGACATCTCGCTGGCATTGATGATGGGGAGAGTCGAAAGAGGACAGGAGAAGCTGAAAATAATGAGACAGCAAAATACCAGCTTATGCATCGTTGCTGTGTTGAATGTTATTTCGTCTTTGTCTACCGCTGTAACTCAGAACTCCTATCTGACTGTTGCCTCTGCTCCCAGTTTCACCCTTTATATAGCTGCTTATGACCTCATAAATACCATCATGTTCTCTCCCCCTCCTTCAAAAAAAAAAAAATCCAATGAATTTATTGCCCATTGATTCTAAATGGAAACCACTTTGCATTGATGTAATTTTTCAAGGTAACAGTTCATAGACAATAAATTTACTGTCTTACAGCTTGGTGTACAAAATGGATATTATATCAAACCAAGCACAGTAAAGTTTATAAATCTGGCATTAAAAAAAAAAGGTAACTTCCAGTTATAAATCATGAGTTAACAAAAGGGTCGGACGTTGGTTGAAATGACCAGGGCAATAAGACAGCTGATTTATGAGCCTTAGCAGGCTTGACGCAAAGCATCTGATATGAAATGCACTTTTTTTTTTTCTCTTTTGTGAGATGGATGGATGCGTTGTATTTGGGCTTCTTGTGCCAGAAAAAGTAAAAGAGAAGGGGAGTTAACACATCTAGTTAATTTACAAAGAGAATGTTAGGGGAGTTCAATTACTTATTTTTTATTTTTTATTTTTTCCTTGTAGCATTTCACATCTATTTATTTGACAAGACCTCATCCAATGTTGCCCTAGAGAATTGTCTTGGCAGAGAAAGTACAACTTCCATCTGGAGACTTGCTTGGTATATATGAACTACTTTCGTTGATATTAAACACAGGTCCCTCACTAGACTGGGAGACCCTTTTCCATTTCACTTCCCTCAATTGGAACTAACTACTTAATTCTGTGTGTGCTAGATAGTTTTTTTTCATGTTTGCCTTTTGCTTCTATTTAATGCTAACACAGTAGTTGCCATATCTAGTCTCATAACTTTATTCTTTATTTCCCTCCATCTAGCATATCTTGTCTTCGATATGAAAAATGAAATTTTAAGTAGCAAAGAGCAAGGACTGACTGGACTGGTCCCTCATCTTTGTTCTCTATGAAGTGTCATACCCAACTGTACGGAGCCTTGAAAATAAAAAAAAAAAGTAAGTTTATGACAATTTTCTTTCCTTTAGGTGATGAGAAGATTAAGTCTGTTCAGGTTTGTAATAAAATTAGGTCCGGTAATTTTCTTTCCCGCCTCTCTAATAAAATGTTTGTGCCTTCAAATGCTCT